TTTTTTCTTTTTTTGGTCTCCTTCATTTTCTCCCCCCCCTTTTTTTTGATCCATTTGTCATGTGTGCCCCAGTGGTCAAAAGAGGGCTTCTTCTCATTAGGGTTTGTGTATGTTCTGCTTCTACAGTCACTCCTGGGAATATAGCTCTTATTTGGCAGACCAGAGATGAACAGAGATATTGTGTTCTTGCTATCCATTTGAGACGGCACATGTGTGTATATGTTGTATGGAAGACTCCTGGTCAAATAATTAAGTATTTTCTAATTGAAAATAAGTTAGATTCTTAGTTTCTCTACAGGGAACAAGCTTAAATATGACATTTTTTTCTGTAAATTTCAACACTGAATTTCTATTATTTGCTGAGCATAACATATTAGAAAAAAATTAAACAACAACTTATACAGGCCGTTTTATGTTAGTAATTATGCTTTAAAATAAGCAGATGTGTGTTCTCTGTAGGGAGGTGTGTACTTATTCTCACTTAGAACATCAACAAAAATGTGTGATCTGAGCATATTCAGTGTAAAGTACAAAGTTCTCTGCACTTTCTGCTTCTCGCGATCTCACACTATATTGCATATATTTCAAGAGATGCATTAATCTCAATGTTCAGTCTATTGTTACATTACTTCAGTCTAGGAGTGCTGATTCTGATGATCTGTAGGATCACCAGCAAAAATACTTATACCAGATGCATACAGAGGGAAGGAGAAAAGGAAAAAGAAAGAAAACAATGAATATAAAATTGTTCTCTCCAGGGCAGACTTGCCAACATCACGTTTCTAAATTTGGTCTCACTTAATAGTGTTGTACTCCTAGTTCTCTCTGCAACTTTACTAAAGTCTTTCATACTGTATTAAAGTCAATCCAAGGCTCCTTCCCTGGGACCTTGGTAGGCTGGCTAATACCCTATCTCCTTCAATTTGATGCAGGCACTCCATATATCACAGCATACATCACATTGCCTTTCCTTTTTTATGTATAGAATCATACAGAACCACACCTTTAGCATGTTGACTATTTGTTCACTGAAATAGTTCTGCTGAAACGGCACAATCCTAGAGCGCCTGTGCTGTTTTGCATGCGTTTTGTTGTCTCCCGCAGGACTGTATGCAGTATGGGAGCTTTTGTTTACATTCTAAAATCTTTTTTATCGTTGTCGATCTGTAGGCATCTGTTTTTAGTTTGAGGACAGTCAGTCAACGTGTACCTGCATGGCAACGAATTGATATTAGTCCTGCCTTGGAATCATGGGAAGTTGTTTTTTTTACCCTCTGGCAGCTATAAAAGGCATCACGTTGTGAATTCTCAGTCAGAATTCGTATATCTCACTCGCGTGGCTTATCTAGCTAAGAGCAGTAGCATCTGCCTTGCTAGCACACTGGGGAACAGAACAAGGCATATGTGATCCTACTTTGCTTCACTTGTATGTGTGTGTGTGTGTATGCACGAGCATGCATGTGTGTAACATCTCCCTGCAAATGAGAAAACGTTAGCGTGGTCTAATCCCTCTCAGATGACACAAAGCGCTTAATCTTTGCGAGGTTATATTAATTTGTGTGTAAACACGAGTCCACTCTGACTCGACAAGGCCAGTCTCTCAGTGGGACACATACGCCCTCAAACTCTCTCTTTTTCTGTTTTTGTCTGCTTGTCTCAGTCAATCACTCACTCACTTACTCACCAACTACATAGATCTTGTCACATGCATGTGCAAATTCAGAGCCTGTTCTTCTTGCTGAATGCACCGCTGTCTACACTGAATTTCATTGTCATGTCTGACATCTTGTAACACGATGTCAAGACTCGTCTCTGTTGAATATGTATTACCATCCGTACTCTCCCTAAAATAAAGGCTCCAAAATGGGCTTTTTGGCACAATGCTATAGAAGAACCACTTTTCTCTAAATAACCTTTCAGCCGAGGGGTTTCAATTTAACTGCCATTTGAAATGTTGTTTAGGGAACCAAAAGTGATTCTTCAGTAGTAGCACTTTACAAACAGCAGCAGCAAAAAAGGATTCGGGTACTTATGCCATGCTTAAAAATGTATTAAGTTGACTGTGTTAGGAAACAACATATCAAACCAAGTGGTATTTAGTTTACAGGGCCTGTGTCTATATCTGAATTTCCCTCACTGTTGTATGTAAACATTGTTAAAGTGTCACTCGCCAGTCCATTCGGTCTGTATATAGAAACCAAGCTGCAAAAACAACCCATTTAAAATTCATTGTTTTTGTGATGTCACAAAATACAATGCATTTACATTTAGCCATCTATTCTTCCTGCAGCAATTCAGCCCCACCTATTTACATAAGTTTGTAAAGAGTGTTTCAGCTCAGAGTGATTTTTGACCAAGGTGCAATACAAGATAGCCAATCAGAACACAGATCATTTACATGTATTGGTCTTAAAGGCCACTAAAGCAGCCTGTTTAATTCTAAGGGATAAAAAGACGCTGAAAAGTAGTCAAGGAAAATTGACAGTTTTTAGTATATAAAACCACATGAACATCATAAGTGAAAAAAATAAAAAAGAAAACAGTAGGGCCCTTCAAACAAAACATTCCAAGACTGTAGTGGCATAGTATTTTTTCAACAAGCAGCTGCTGATTTGTAGATTGTTACTGTTTGAGAAGACTTCTGCAAATTTTCCTCCAAAATGCATCTGTACACTTTGGAGTTCATGATCCCATCAATGAACACAAGGTCACCGACAGCATTGTAAGAAAAACAGCTCCAGATTTTGACATTTGCACTCTTCTCCAGGCTTTCTCGATGCAAAGAGTCCACTATCAGCTTGATGTTGTTCCTAAAGTGTTTTTTCCCCAAAAACAAAAACAAACATTTTCTTAAACATTTTGTAAAGTAACCTAAAGATTGTCATCAGAATTTTTAAAAGTTAAATTGTCCAAATACTTTTTGTGGCCACTGTCACAGAGTTCTTCTTTGCTGAATGCACCATGTTTTGCCTTCAAATTCACTGTCATGCTTGATATCTTATATCATGATATTGAGTCTCATCTCACTCTTAAAAATAAATGGGCCAAAAGAGGTTCCTTGAAGTAATGCTATAGAAGAACCACTTTTCCCTGAAGAACCTTCTGACTGAGTGGTTCAGTTGAGTTAAAAAAAAAAAAATGCATAGTTCTTTAAGAACCCAAAAGTGGTTCTTCTATGGCAGCACTTCACATATTTCACATGCATGTGTAAATTCAGAACTCTTTCTTCTGCTGAATGCACTACTGTATGCATTGAAATTTACTGTAATGTTTGACACCCAACAATTTGATGTCAAGTCTCATCTCTGCTGAATTATCAAGGTGCCAAAAAAGGCTCTTTGGAGTAAAGAACCTATAAAATGGGATTTTTTTTTAAGAAACCATCGATTGAAAAGTCATTTGTGAACCAAATGTGGTTCTTCTACCAAGGCATTTTAAATACAGTACTGTGCAAAAGTCATAGGTACCCAAACAAATTGTTTAAATAACATTTTAATAAAGGTGCTTCCACTTGTAAAAGCTTTAGAAAAAAACATGAATGAAAAACGTGAATGTAGTAAAAAGCAACAATTTGTATCAATCAGTAGTTAATATGTTTAGAGCTAGAAGAACAAAGTCCCAGACTTTACCTCAATGCTGCCAGCCATCACATTGATTTGTTCAAATCCATCACCAGCACTCCTGATATAATTTAATGAAGCATTGATTAGCCAAACCAGGTGTTGGATGATCATTACAAATAAGCAGGAGAGGAGAGGTTTGGAAATAGTAAAATTAACTCACTGACACATATAATCACTACTTATTGCAATATTATTTGTATTCATTCTAATATTAGCATTCTATAGCGTTTTAAATATAATTGTCTCAGATTGCTAAGACTTTTGCACAGTAATGTATGTCTCATGCCATCTGCAAGTACAGAGCCTTTTCAACTTGCTGAATGCACCACTATCTGCATTATCATTCATTACCATGTTTGACATCTTACAACATTCTGTCAAGTCTCATCACTTCTGAAGTATTACCAGCCAATAAAGTTGCCAAAAAGGGTTCTTTGGAGCAATGCTGTAGAAGAACCACTGAAAAACCTTTCACCTGAGTGATTCTAAAGAACCATGCCTTCAAAGGTCCTTAAGGGAACCAAAAGTTGTTTTTCTATGGCATCGGTCCAAAGAGAGAGCACTAACTTGCATGGATCATTCACTTGTGGTGTTCTGCACCGCTCGGCAATTTGTGTTCCTTTTTTAGCGGCTCAGAAGCACTTGAAACGGCTGCCCCAAACTCTCCCAGCAGCGGTGTACACACTGTAGCACATTAAACATGAGCTAAACAAAAAATGAATGCAATAAAAGCACACATCCACTTTTACATGTAAATGCTCAGGGTGTATTTTTGGGTTTTTTGGTGAAAAGGCAGTCGGAAATGTGACGCACACACGTATTCGCGCTTATTGGAACTGTCCATGGTGCTGAGTAGTAATCAGAGCCCACTGATTCCAGTCGTTCCATCTGTTCCTGCATTCCCGTATCGAACGCACTTTCATCTCATTCTTTAATGTCAGCCCAGCAAAACAACCATACATCAGCAACATTACCTCGACTAACTCTGGACTCACACACACTCTATTTCTCTCCCAACATGAGAGAAAAGAAATCCTCCACTTTCAAGGACGCGAGGATTAATCACTGAACTGTGTACTTGTGCGAATGGAGTAGAGGAAAGCGCCCAGGCTTTACAGGCTGTGCCCTGGGCAGATAAGAAGGTGAAGACTTGAAGAGTGTGACTGGATGTTGCTGTGGGTCACTCTCCTCAAATCTGTGGCTTGACCAGGTCCTAACAATTCCCAGCAGCTTCTACAAGAGTTGGAGGCTAGTTTTTTTTCTCTTTCTTCTGTCGCCCCCCCCCAAGCTTGTTCCATGCCCCAGTGGAAAAGCTCACATCAGCAGAAGCGCAAACAAACACGGGACAGAGCTGTAGAGAGGAAAACACAGTCTTACCTTAATTGAGTCCTTTGCCAGAGGGAATAGCAGACACAAAGACTTGAGCCGGGTAAAATCCAAGCGCTTCACAAACTCTCTTCCTTCATCCGTCCGTCCTCCTCAACCTCTCGGCTTCTTTTCCCCTTCACCTTCCTCTTCTCCCTCCTCTTTGCACCCCTTTTGCGCTCATCTACTCTGCTCTTTCTCCTGTCTGCTGCCTTGCTCGCGCACTCATCCCTCACTGCACGCACACGCCGGAGCAAAGAGAACTGAGGCGCGTGCCACTGCTGAAGAAAAAAAAAGGGGGATCAGAGAGAGAGAGAGAGCGAGAGAGAGAGACTGTGTGTTCCTGCGGTTTTGGAATGAAGCGAGCACACGAGCGGGGGAGCAAAAGAGAGGGAGCGTTTTGTGTCAGAGAGCCAGAATAAGAGAGTGAGAGAGAGAGATAGAGGAGGGAGAGAGAGCACTTTGCTGAACGGTGCTGTGGCGCGCTGCACTGGCGTCTGTGGTGTGTGTGAGTGTGATTGGTGTGAGTGCGACCCCTGTCAGGTCTCCAGAGTGAGGGATCTTCATCAGGCAGATTAGAGAGACAGAGGACCCCCCCTTAACCCCCCCACCACCACTTCAGCCCTCGTTCCCGCCCTCTACTCCTCCTTCCTCGCTCGCTCGCTCGCTCACTCACTCTCTCTCTCTCTCCCGCAGAGAGGCAGTGATGTGTGCTACGGTCACCACGGGGATATTCTAATCGGCCCGCTCGCTCTGCCACATGGGACCAGCAGCAGATCTTCCAAGCTGGTGCCCTGACAGATGCCAACCAAAAAAAAATAAAAAAAAGAGGGAGGATGGGCTGGGTGTGGTGTTAATATGTGGGTACCTGAGTAAGTTGAGGTTGTAGAAAGAATCTAATAGTATACAGGACACAGGAGTAAATTAATAGTACAAGTTTTAGGCACCTGAGAAAATTATATAAAAAGCCATTTAACTGGTCAGTAAGCATTTATTTGCTTTGAAAAAATCTAAATTTATAATAAGTACTGATTTTATGTCTACAAATATGTTCGTTTAACCATTTTTATCCTTTTCATAGAGGAGCCCAGGATGATTTGTATTGTCCAGTTCTTGGGTGATCAATGCTTCATCAAGTTAATCAGGTGTGCTGGTGATGGATTTGAACAAATCTATGCAATGGCTGGGGGCGTCAGGGAGAGGTCTGGAACCAAACCTTTGCTCTTCCAACTAGCTCACAGCACCTTAACTTCTTTTTTGAAAGCAAGAAATGCATGTTACTTTTTTACTGGATAAATATTTCTTTGAATTTCTAATGTTATAAGGTGGTGTTAGGTGTGGAAACACATTCATTAGCCAGATCAGTTGTTTCAAACAGATTCTCACAGAGTGTGTGTGTGTGTGTGTGTGTGTGTGTGTGTGTGTGTGTGTGTGTGTGTGTGTATGTGTGTGTGTGCATAACCAGAACTTTTATGATGGGGTGGCCAGTAATTTTCTTGATGAGGGATCTTCATCAGGCAGATTAGAGATACCGAGAACAACCCCCCATCACCACTTCAGCTCTTGTTTCCACCCTTTTTGAGGTGGCAACCAGTGCTGTAGTTGTGTCAATAGGTTGGACATGTGTGCAACCTCCCACCCCCCTTCCTCTCCCCGTCCCTCTCCCACGCACCCCCTCCCCCCACCTTAACCTGTGTTCATCCATCCACACACTTTAAACGCACACTACTCCCCCATATCGATTTTTAGTTTTCTACATCATTTGAACACAACAGCTGTCCTGAAAAAGTTCATGCTGAATGGACCAATAGAAATGCTCCAAAACCAATGTGACGTATGTTAAAATTATGAACATTTTTGTCTCCTGTAAATATTACTATTTTGGAGATGCATGTTTTCATTTGGGCAGTGATGATCTACTCTGTAACTAAAGGGACGGTCTTATGTAAAAATGATGCCAACATAAACTTAATACAGTATTCTATAAGCTACCAAAATGCCATGGAAATAATACTGTTACATGCAGTCCAAAAGCCTGAGATCAGTGAAATTCTAATTAAATAAAAGTGCTTCATTACAGGTTATGTTATAAACATAAAAAGTAGAATATTGTAGATATTTGGATGAATTTCATAATTTCTTAGTATTTGATATGTCCCCATTTTGCTATAATGACAAACTGGCTTGGAGTCCACAGGTTTGTGCAAAAGCCTCTGATACATAAATCAAATCCACCTATGAGTCCTCTGAACAAGAGCTTTAGTGGAATGGATAAGACTGAAACAACCTGGCAAATTTTGTACATGGTCAATGCCACAAATGTGCTTGAATTTGAATGATGAATAGTAAATATTCATTAAATCTTTGTTTAACTATTCATGACGTATTCCTTCTATTTTCTTCAAAATTCTACTTTCTGCTGTTTATTTCCAGTTTTAAATATTTTTTTTTAAATCCCAGCTTTTTAACATGGTCTTCCCCAAACTGTTCCAACAAAGTTGGAAGCATACAATTGTTCTAGAATTGGTCTTGGGATGCTGAAACATTAAGATTTCCCACCACTGGAGCTAAGTGGCCTAGGCCAACCCCTGCCAAACAACCCCATAGCATTATCCCTCCTCCACCAAACTTTACAGTTGGCACAATGCAGTCAGGCAGGTAACGTTTTCCTGGCATTCGCCAAACCCAGACTCGTCCATCAGACTGCCAAATAGAGAAGTGTGATTTGTCACTCCACAGAATACGTTTCTACTGCTCCAGAGTCCGGTGGCAGGAGGCTTTACACCACTCCATCCAACACTTGGCATTGTGTGTTTTGATCTTAGGCTTGTGTGTAGCTGCTTGACCATGGAAACCCATTTCGTGAAGCTCCTAATGCTTCTGCTGATGTTGCTTCCAGAGGCAATTTGGAACTCTTAAGTGAGTGATTAAACAGAGGATAGACCCTGTGTGCTTCATGGCTAAGCTGTTTTTGCTCCTAGTTGCTTCCATTTCACAATAGTAGCACTTACAGTAAACAGGGGCAGATCTAGCAGGACAGAAATTTCACAAACTGACTTGTGGCAGAGGTGGCATCATATGACAGTGCCATGTTTAAAGTCTCTCAGCTCATCAGTACGACTCATTCTACTGCCAGTGTTTGTCTATTGACATTGCAAGGCTATGTGCTGAACTGTATTCACCTGTTAGCAATGGGTGTGGCTGAAACACCTGAAGTCAATAATTAGGAAGGGTGTCCCATTATTTTTGTCTGTATAGTGTACAATAAGTGAGTAGCTGGGCTTCAGCCTGACTATTAATATGTTGTTGCTGACTACTGGATACATTTTAAACTGCAGTAACAAATATACTTACAATTATGGTTAATTATGAAATGTAAATATTATTATTTTTAAAGGTGATTATCAGTCTCATCAGAGGTGGGTACATGCTGTATACCTGTATATATGCCCAACTACACTAGTGGTAACTTGACAGTTAAGGTAACATTCACTACTGCTTATTAATATTAACACTAATTTGTTTAGTAAGCTAGCTGAAAAATAGTGCATATTTCATTTTTAAAAGTAAATGAACATGTTATCACTTTAGTTAATGCAACAGAGTAAATATATAATCAATTACTTTTCAGGAAAGGCAGCTTTAAAAACATAATAGTTAACATTGTTTTTATCAAACACGCTAACCTATTCAGGGGCATAGTAAGTTAGCCTGCTAGCTAGGCCTTTATTCAAATAATGTTAGCTAATTAAACATAAGGTTGCTTGTTCAGGAAAAAACTCTTTTATGTCAACAAAGCACAATGCCCAGCCCACCGCAATCGCAACACAAATCACAGGGAGGGCGTAATGCAGGAGGACCCAACACATGAGGAGGGAAGACACTTCTAACCACTAGTTAAGCCCACTAATAAATACAACTACTCCAACAACAGCAACACATCAGCAACAGCAGCAATAAATGTCTTTTTTAACCAGGAGCCTGGCGCTTCCTGAAATCCACTTTGCATGGCCACACCCTCTAAGCTCCCCATAGCAGTATGATTCGTGGCACCACAATAAGTCAGCTAGCTACCTGGCATGCCCAGTTATGTTAGCTGCTTCCATTAGTGAAATAAATTTACATAGTACTTAATTCCAATAATTAGCTTTTAATATTGTGACCAGTGTTTACTTACGTGTTTGCTATGTTTCACTGCTTGGTCAAAAATTAGCTTGCAGGACATTGCTTGGCTCTGAAAGGTGCAGTTGGATGTCCCACTCTTTCACTCCCCACACAGAACTTGTTGCGATGAGCGTTCTGCAATTCAAAGTAACCTCTAATATAGTGGTTCCCAGTCCAGGCTCTGGAGTACCTCTGCCCTGCACATTTGGTGTTTTCCTACTTTGCTTCAACCCACTTCAGCCCTCTGCTTCCACCCACTTCAACTTAGGAAGGGCTAGTTAATTAGCCGATTAGTTGGAGAGGTGTTTTAGAGAAGAGAAAACACCAAAATATGCAGTGGCAGGGGTACTCTAGAGTCAAGGCTGGAAACCACTGATCTACTACACTGTTTCAATATGCAGTCAGTCTCTCTTTACCCCTTCATGTCCATATCTGACATTTTATTCATTGTTTTGGTCCTTGTGTTTGCTGAGCTTGCCTAAGCACAAATCTGAAGAACCAACAATCAAACCATATGGCTAAAAATCAAAGCGTAATCATTTACTAGTAGCTTTATTCCAACTGAATAACTGGACATTTCCTTGCTTAGCACTGGTATTGATAAAACATAGAAACATAGAAAGAATCAGTCAGGGTCATCATCTTGCATCACTAATACATAGAGGTGAATGAAATCTTATTCTCTGTATCCCCCAAAGAATGAAATCTTATCCTCTGTATCCCCCAAAGCTTCTCCCCCGCACTCTGATAAACAAGTTTTATTTATCCAGAAATATTTAGACATTTGCCGCTACTCAAATGGCACATGGTCCTTGTTAATGCTGACCTATTTTAGGGCAATCCTCATGCAGTGCCAGAGTGTTGCTGTTTTTACCCATGTGGGACGAACACGCACTCACAGATTTGTGTCACTCAGGCTGTCTCGCAGAAGCATAACCTGACATTGATTGGATTCAAACCGCGGTGGCAGGCCGTTTGAACTCAGGCCAGTGTCTTTCCCACTCATACTTTCCCTAAGTGTCAGGAGACGACAGGATGGTGAGCTATAACCTTTAGGAAGAG